TAATAACAACCCTTCCAATAAAACAACATCTTTTAGAGTTCACCTATTTAGAGTCAATATGTATGAGAAAGATGCAAATTATTATTATATTAGCTTTCATCTCCAGGTGTTCCCAAACAATTTTAACAATCACCTTAAAATCAAATAATTCAATCCCCATAAACATATTAGACATAATAATAGTTTGTATTATTAATTAATTTATTCAAAAGAGCTCCCCATATTAGATCCCTTAATCATAATAATATTTGTAGCAACCATAAATAAGACAACCTTAACTCCCTTTATAATAAAATCAAATTTTACCTGTTACATCATAAGCATTTGCTCCAGTACGCTCTTAGAGTCCTATTAATGTCAGACCATCCTATTAATAAGTTAATCTTTAAGTTGCTCCACCTGTTTAATAAGTTTATGTTCAATAATAACCAGTGGTATATTAATTTAACAATAATTTCTATAGACTGTACAACCCTAAACTTAAGTATAAGAATTTAGACATGTTGAAAGACCATTATAAGTTATTACTGTAGATGGTAATAATATTATTGATTATATTTATTAGAAATTGAAGCACCATGGAGATTGAAGTGTGCTACTTTAGAGAGATAGATATTGGAATTATAAATTTAAATTAGAAAGAATAATGGAACTATTGTTGAAGAAACAGTTTAAGAAGTTTAAGATGATTCAAGAGTTAAAAATTTAGAACTTTAAAAATTAGAATTAGAATAAAAAATACATGATGATGAATAATTGATGGAAGAATTAAGAATTAGACTTGAAGAATTAAGATAAGAATATGAAATAATAATAACAGAAAAAGTTACTTATGCATCAAATGAAGTTGAAACTTGGATGAAAAAATATGCCAATTTAGAAAAGAATTATGCTGAAAGTAATTAAAAAATTGCAGATTTAAAGAGATAATTGGCTTAAGTTGAAGCTGCTGATAAAGCAATGTAAGATTAAAAGAAAAGTGAAGTTCGTACAGAAGTTCGTAGAAGTTCTAAAATGTATTGAATTTAATAAATTTCATTAAACAAGTTAATATTATAAGAATTAAATAAAAAAAAAATCACTTTCTATTACAAATCAAGTGATTAACTGCTTGTTATATTGATCTACTATTTTAAATTTGTTAAAATTAGAAATTCTTCTCATTCTCTATTCTTATATCATCAACATTTAGTAATTCCATTAAGTAATTTTCCAATTCAATTAATTCCTATTAAAATATAATTTAATTATATTACATCATCTTTTTTGTTATCAAGATATGGTATGATTGGTATTCCATTATTTAATTAATATGCAAATGAATAAGCAGAGTTATCAATTAAAATTATATCTTCTAAATTTCTATTTAAAGTTCTTAAATCTTTAATATGGCATCCTTTTGATAGATTTATACAATCATTTCGATAAAGACGATACTTTACTAATTATTTGGTTGGATCTAAATAATCTATTATTTAATTTGCATAATCTTCATTTGATGCTGTGAATATCATAATCTCAAAATGTTTAGCCATATTTTATAGAAATTATTAAGCGTAAGGTCGAACACTAATTTCAGCCTAATTTAGAATATATTTGGATTTGTTACTTTAACAATAAAACCATTGTCTAAATTAATATTTATCATTAAATCTTTGGGCATTAGATATGATTCATTGCAATGCACTAATGTTTCATCTAAATCTATAACTAATGTTTTTTATCGAACTTAATTATTACATAAATTAAATACTTATTTATGGTTTGATTTTACTTAAAATTTAATAATCTTGTGGTTATTTTAACACTTTTGATTTTTAGAGAATTTCATAAGTTTGAATAAAATGATTAAGGTACATTTATGCCATAAATATATCAACTTAATCTCCTTTTATCAAGTTAATTAATTTATCAGTATAATAAGTTTTTCTATTTTTTGGTTAATTAAAATCTTCAATTCGAATTTATTTAATTATTTCCCCATCTTCCGATACTTCTATTGTTTAATGAGTTGGTTTTTGATTATTTAACAATTATTTATTGTCTATTTCACTTTGTTCTAATACTTCTCCATCTATTTATAAATCCAAAGCAGTTGGCAAAGAATTATTACTGTCTATAGTAATGGATGATTTTTAATAAGACTTAAATCTTTTGTGAATGACTTTTCTTCTGATCATCTTCTATTTACTGAGGAAATTATTTGAAAGACAATACTTTTTAGAATTTTAAACTGGGATGAGATTATCTTCAAGACTGGGAATTTATTCAAGGTCTTAAGCTTCTGGAACAGCTAAAGGTGTGACAGTCTAGATTAGATAAACACAAATGAATTACTTAAGAATCATTTTAAACATCATGTCTTCTTTAGTATATGTCTTTTTAATCTGAAACTTAAGTCTCATTTTGTTTAGTTTATTTCATAACCACACTATTGTTAATTTCTTTATTGATTTAACATAACTCAGAAGCCTCTTTATTTACTTAAAAAATTGTATCAGACTATATACAAATCAGTTAAGATAATACTTATTCAATAAATTTCATATTATTTTTTGAATATTTTTATGCTCGGACTCTTCGTAAGAAATGTCTTTCAATCTTTTAAGCTATCATTTTTATATTAATTATTATATTTGTAGAGTATTATTATTATAGATTCTAAATACTGACTTTCAAAAAAATGGTTCCAGTGTGAGGATTTCTTTGTATTCTATTCATAAATCAATGATAATAGATAAACTTAAATAAATATTCATTCAATATTAATTTATCAATATAATTTTGCAAACAATTATTGATCAGAAGAATTTAATCAAAAAAAGTGAAATTTCTTAATATCACTTCTATTTTTGCTAATCTGTACTCTCAATTAATTGAACTTATTTTTTTTATATATTTCATCTTTATAAATTTAAATATAACTCATTCTCCATTATGTATCAATTTTTCAACTAAATAAAAGTTAAATAATTACACATTTATTTCTAAAATAAATATATCAAACTTTTTAAAGTGCATCTCCCTTTAATAACTATCTTTCTATTTTACCTTCTAAATAATGACCTATATTACACTATTTCAATAGAAGCATATCACATGTTTAAGTATAATTTAAAAGACCAAATTTTGAGTCAATTTTAATAACCTAAATGATATTTTATTTTACATTTTTTAACTTAATTTCTGAATTTAATGTATGATCTAAAGTTCATTATATTATTATTAATTTTAATTTTATAATTCTATACATCTTTATTACATATAAATTAATCTTGCTTTATATATTTTTGTTTTGATATTGATCCAACATAGAACTTCAATTCTTATAATATAATATTACTCTCTATAATTTTTACTACTATCTTTTACAAATTTAATAAGTTAAATCATTTCAAATGTCAATATTTTATTTTTTTAACTTGAAAATTTATTCTCTAAATTTTTACATGAATATTAGATACTTTATCAATAAATATATACTTAATTAATTTTTTCCTTGAGAGTCAATTAGACTTAATCTATATTTATAATAATAATAATTCTGTATTGCTTATGATATCAATTAAAGAATATTTTAAATTAGAAAATAAACTTAATAAACCATAGCAATATATACATAAATGATGATTTGATATTTAGTTTGAAATGTTAATTATCAACAGTAAAATTAAAATATATATATAAATTAATTAATGAAAATTCTCATTGATAAAGGATAACTATACTTTGATTTATAAATTGAAAGAGTTTCAATATGTATTTCAAATATTAAGTCTGTATTTTTAAAGCCTAGATAAAAATGAAACTAACCATATATTTATAAATAAATTAGAATAATCATTTATTTTTATCATTTATTTCAATTTGATTGCATCTACATTCTGAATGATAATGTTTATTTTATTAATAATATATCTTAAATAGAATATAATTATAGATATATAATTGATTTTATCATGAAATACTAATGTTTTTGATATAATATTGATTGGATATAATGAATTTACTGTTCATTAGCTCTCCCATTATATTAAGATATCTTAATTGTTTATATTCTTTTTCATTACCATTATATTTTCACTTCTATTGATTGTTTTGTATGTATAGCATAGCTTTATTTTAAAAAATTTAAAGATTTTTTTTTAATTTATGGGCAAAAAGGAAAAAGGAAAGCCAAATCCATTAGGTGAAGTTAGCAGAGATTATACTATTCATCTTCATAAAGCTGTTCACAAAGAGACATTCAAGAGAAAGGCTCCACGTGCTGTTAGTCATATAGTCAGATTTGGTAATGAAATGGAATTAATAGAATAGCTCAAAAGAATATGTTGACAGAGGATGTCAGAATTGATCCATAATTGAATGAAGCAATATGGGCTAGAGGAATTAGAAATTTACCAAGAAGAATTAGAGTTAGGTAGTGTGATTAACATTATTGTTTGCAGACTTTAAAGAAAGAAGAAGGAAGAAGATGATGGAAAAGGAAAGTACTATACTCTTGCTTAGTACGTGCCAGTTGAATCATTTGCTAACCTCAAGACAGAAATTACAAAAGCATAATGATTCTAATAATGTACAATACAATATATAAATACATTATTTTATTTTTAATAAAAATTGTTCTTAGATTAATATATGTTAATATGTTAATTCTAATTACATTCTTTAATATTGAATTTAGAGTTATCATGCATATAAATCATGTGATAATACTCTTTTATTTCAATGTTAATAAAAATTTTAAAGATTTAAATGATAATAGAAAGAGAAATAATATAATTAATTATAAAATATGTGAAATAACGATGAAGTTCGTTTTATTTTGATTAAATTTTAATTTATAATCAGATATTTTTAATGTTTAGAAGGTATATATGATTTATAAGTAATTACAATAAATGTAAATTAATATGTAGTTGTTTGAGTAATAGGAATAACTTAATTGAATTGAAAAAAAAGTATGAGATTAAATCAAATGATTTAAAAAATTAATATGTGTTATTTTGATTTATTATATTTCATGCATCAAGATTGAATAATTTAACAGCAGTAGGGTCATTGATCATAAATGCTGCTTTCTATGTTTAACGTACGAATTCTCGTACTGTATTTTCACTCCTTCCCAATTTAAATAATGCCTATAATAAATTAAATGATATAAGTATACTTTCAAATATGTATCAAGTTATTTTCCTCTTTATACTATGAAATCATTGTCAAGATTTCCAAAAAGTCTTTTTTCTGGAAATTTTGGTAAATTGGATTTGAGATTCTTTGATAATTTTGAACTCAAACTCTCCAATAAGCTATATCTAGTTTAAAATATCCAGAAAAGAGTTCCTTTCTTTATTTTAATTTCATAGACTACGAAACTATTCTGAACTACTTTAGTGTTGATTATCTCGATTTCAAAGTCGTTATTCTAGAAAAATCTTAAAAATTATATATTTACTTCTACTGTCAATTAAGCTTTGGCTTTGATAGGTCGTCTCTTATTTAGGAAGGAGAGGATAGGTAATTCTGCCATCTATTCATCAATCAAGGGTTATTAAGATGATTATAATAAAGCAAACTATTGATTTTAATTGGACATTGTTGTTTTTGATGAAACAAAAGGGGTTGGGGAAAGTTAAACAGGTCTTAACTTATTTTAATTAATGTAATTTAGTCTCTTTAAATGCTTTTTTATTTATAAAATTATAATGAACCAAAAGAAAAAAAGAAGAGTTTTTTCATTTTAAATTAAAAATTTGGCAGGCACATTATCAGAATTGTTTGATAGTCAATAAACTACAAATAGAAAATAAAATGAATAACCAAATATTAAAACATTATTAGCATTCAATGAAATTGATTAATTCTATTCACCTAAGGAATCTGGATCAACTACATAGAGATCTATTTCTAGATTTCGTAAGAATTCAATAAGTCCAAAACATTCTTACATATATTCAAGGAAAACTATTCAAACACCTTTAACAATAAGGTCATCAATACTGATGCTTAATCAATTTGAATAACAATTTGCTGATAGTATTCAATCAAATGATTAAATTGGAGCTATTGAAAGTAACTAACATTTTTGATAAGGTATACTAAATATGATGGTAATTGCAGTGGAATAAGATAACATTACTTTACTAATAACTTTTATGCGTCTAAGTGCATTAACATTTATTTCTTTTTAAGAATGGACTAAAGCACTTCTATTTTTATAACATTGCAAATTTTTAAGTGAATTTACAAGATAATTTGATGTAATTTAATGGACATTTCTTCAAATTGGAATATTATGTAAATATGTTAAGAAATATGATATGGGTAAAATATTCATAAAGAAAGTAATACTATATATATATATACATAGTCATTAGAATATGCATGGCATTTGAAAGATGTCGATTAAGAAATAATATGTTATGAAGAACTAGGAAAATTATGTTTTCTAAATTATGAATTAAAAATAGCTAAATCTTTACATGATAAAAGCATGAAAGGAACTGTTGAAAAAGACAAATCTGCCATGAAAATGGTTTCATAAAAAGGAATGTAATAAATCATAAAGATGTTACCATAAGAAGAGAAAAGATTGGGGTTACATATATTTTCTAAAGCTGTTAATTTTCCTATCAAATTGATTCAATGTTAAAATACTTAATATTATTAAAGAAGATAAGTTAAAAATCAATATATGATATCACATAATTTGGAATGCATACCTAACCAAAGAGTTATTGATATTGATATATCATTAGATGAAATGTTACAATAATTTCTTAAAGGAAAGAATTTTGCCTTTGAAATTCCAATACCAATATCTGTAGCTGATGAATATGAAAGTATAAGACAATAAAGTTCTGTTCCAAAAATATAGTAATTAAAATAAACTTAAACTGCTACTTTAATAAAATTATCAACCTTAAAGTTACATCCTACTAAAACCAAATAGCCAATCATTAAATTAAATGATTTTTAAAAGAAACTTCCATTAGAGGAAATGATTAGATAACGTTTAGAAATGAAATTTGAAATTCCAACCACTTTTACAGAGACAATAAGGAACAGAAAATTCTCTAGTAATTTAGAATTAATAAGATTAACACATGAAAGAGATGGAATTGCTTTGAGTGTAGAACATTAAAAAAGAGGCTTAATTAGATATGCCTAGAAATTGCTGAATTAATAATAAATTACTTATCTATGATTAATAGTATTGTTTAATGATATATAAAAGTTATTCATTTTATAATAAATAATAAATTATACATATTTCTAATATTTTCAGATTTATTATTATAATTCTGAGTTCTACTAATAAAACACCTAATCTATGGCAATTCTTCTTAAAATTATTTTGAACATTCAAATTTTAAGTATTAAATTCTTTTACCAATTCCATTTACAAATTAAAACAATGTTTTCCAAAAATTATATTATCCTAATTGTTTTAGAGATAAAAAGAAAATTACTGATACTTATTGATATTTATTAGAAATGAGATAATTATTTTAGAATAATAATATGTCAGTGAAGAGAATGTCATCAATAATAAACACAATACTATAATTGATTTTTTTTACATTATAAAGATTAAATGTACATGATTTTATTATATTTTTTCAATAGCCTAACTTCTCTAACTCTGTGTTGATTGTAGCAAGTTCTTTAGCTCCAATGGCCTTTCTTCTAAGATTTTCTCTGGCTATCTTTCTCTTGTAATAGGCAGCACCTCTAATTGAAGTGTTAAAAATGCACGATACCTTTGCTTTCTCTTCTCTTCAAGTCTGTTAACAACAGCTTATGAATTCCATCCTACTGAGGCACATAAATCACCTAAAGAGCAGAAGGGTCTGTGATTCTTTAATCTGATCAATTTGAGAGCATCTGGAACAACTTATCTCTTTCTTGTATCATATGGAGGTGGGACTCCTTCAAAGATCTTTAATCTTTCTAAAGCAGCTGCTCCTCTTTTTGATTTATATTGAAGCATTCCTCTGACTACTTTCCAAAAACATCGTGATGGAGTTCTGTAATGTTTATATNCAATAATTTCTTAAAGGAAAGAATTTTGCCTTTGAAATTCCAATACCAATATCTGTAGCTGATGAATATGAAAGTATAAGACAATAAAGTTCTGTTCCAAAAATATAGTAATTAAAATAAACTTAAACTGCTACTTTAATAAAATTATCAACCTTAAAGTTACATCCTACTAAAACCAAATAGCCAATCATTAAATTAAATGATTTTTAAAAGAAACTTCCATTAGAGGAAATGATTAGATAACGTTTAGAAATGAAATTTGAAATTCCAACCACTTTTACAGAGACAATAAGGAACAGAAAATTCTCTAGTAATTTAGAATTAATAAGATTAACACATGAAAGAGATGGAATTGCTTTGAGTGTAGAACATTAAAAAAGAGGCTTAATTAGATATGCCTAGAAATTGCTGAATTAATAATAAATTACTTATCTATGATTAATAGTATTGTTTAATGATATATAAAAGTTATTCATTTTATAATAAATAATAAATTATACATATTTCTAATATTTTCAGATTTATTATTATAATTCTGAGTTCTACTAATAAAACACCTAATCTATGGCAATTCTTCTTAAAATTATTTTGAACATTCAAATTTTAAGTATTAAATTCTTTTACCAATTCCATTTACAAATTAAAACAATGTTTTCCAAAAATTATATTATCCTAATTGTTTTAGAGATAAAAAGAAAATTACTGATACTTATTGATATTTATTAGAAATGAGATAATTATTTTAGAATAATAATATGTCAGTGAAGAGAATGTCATCAATAATAAACACAATACTATAATTGATTTTTTTTACATTATAAAGATTAAATGTACATGATTTTATTATATTTTTTCAATAGCCTAACTTCTCTAACTCTGTGTTGATTGTAGCAAGTTCTTTAGCTCCAATGGCCTTTCTTCTAAGATTTTCTCTGGCTATCTTTCTCTTGTAATAGGCAGCACCTCTAATTGAAGTGTTAAAAATGCACGATACCTTTGCTTTCTCTTCTCTTCAAGTCTGTTAACAACAGCTTATGAATTCCATCCTACTGAGGCACATAAATCACCTAAAGAGCAGAAGGGTCTGTGATTCTTTAATCTGATCAATTTGAGAGCATCTGGAACAACTTATCTCTTTCTTGTATCATATGGAGGTGGGACTCCTTCAAAGATCTTTAATCTTTCTAAAGCAGCTGCTCCTCTTTTTGATTTATATTGAAGCATTCCTCTGACTACTTTCCAAAAACATCGTGATGGAGTTCTGTAATGTTTATATCCTCTTCTTGGATTGAAGGCCATTCTCTTATTGAGATATTCTTCAAAAATGACTCTATTTCTGAAGAGGGAACCTGTTTTAGTAACAACATCATACCTGATTGTTAAATCAACTCACTTCTGACTACAACAATCCTTTAGCCTCTTTACAACTCCTTGGCAATATAAGAAGCCAATCGACCCAACAAATGGCCCTTGCCATCAATCACGATTTCTTTCTCAAACATTAAATTTTAAATAAATTTTCAAATCATTTCATCCATTCCATTAGCCTAAATTAAATATCATCAAAATTATTTATAAAATATATATATACTCATATTTAAGAATATCATAACTTAAAGAATACATTTTTGATCTCAATCTAACATATATTGTAATTAAAATCAATAAAATTTATCATATAATTTAAGTTGAATTAGTACTACCAGTCATTCCATGATCATTGTATTCATAATCTTTGAACATGTCTTAAATAGAATCCCTTCTCAAAGCACTAGCATTTTCTTATATCAGAGCATCCTATGAATCATGATCTGATGAAATCTATCTCTTAAAATCTTGATCTTCAGATTAAGCTAATTCATTAAAAGGAGAAGGCATAGTCTTATCAATCAGACTTTACCAATTAATATTTAAAAACCAAGGATGCTTCATAATTTATTGAACCCCTTCAAATCCTAATCTATTTTATTATTTTCTTTACAATAACTACTAATAACTATTTAATTTACTTGATTACAAATATCTGCACTTTCACTACTCCAACCATCTTATTTTTTGATAGTAACTTACTTAGTTAACATCATCTCTTTGATTTCCTTACGTGATCTACCTACATAAGGTCTTCTTCCAAGCATGAATTCATGTATCATGACTCCCAAAGCGAAATGATCAACTCCTATTCCATGATTCTGTCTACACATTACTTCTGGGGCTATCTGACTTAATATAATTACTAACCCATATATCCTGGAGTCCCACTTGTTTCTTAACTATTTTCAGGCTTTAATACTCTTGCAATCCCGAAATCAGTTAATCTTGGATAACCCTTCTTGTCAAATACTACATTCTCAGGTTTAATATCTCTATGTATGATGTTATTATTCTGTAAGTACTCTAAACATAGTAATAAACAAGCTATAATGAATTCTATATTAGATTGAACTCTTTACTGGTTTGCCATTCAGTGAAACGACGATTCACTCCAATATGATATCTTAAATCGCCTCCTGTTAATAAATCCATCACTAAATATAGATGATCTCTATCTTAAAATGCAAAGTGAATGTTGGCAATGAAAGAATGTCTTAGTTTACTTAGAAGAATCCTTTCATTTATAACTGAATGGACAGACTTTTTTGATAAGATTCTCATTTAACGTATTAAAATACCTGGCTTTACTCATCTCTTTCATTGCATATTGCTTTCGAGTCTTACAAAGTTCCACTCTCCACACTTTTCCAAATCCACCTTTTCCAAGCACAAACAGGAATTTAAAACTACCTTTGTTTAGATCTTCTCGAATTAAAGATTGTTGATTTAATAACTTCTCAGGTGTTTGAACCGGTTATTTTTTAGGTCCACTTTCATTAATTTTTCTCTTCAAGGCTTTTTACTAATTAAGTTACATAAACTCACTAATATTTGTTCATTGAAGATCTACATCTAAATCTAATATTTTGGACTTTAAGGTACTGAAGGTACTTAAGGAGGACTTACACTTAACATTCTTTATTCTACACGACTCATATTACGAGTCCTCCATTAAGGAGAAACAGGTGGTGACACAGGAACTGGAGCCTACTATCCAATAGACATTTTGAATGAGGGTAATTTGGATGGTCTTTGTTATCTTTGTCTAGTGCTCACAGGACTTTTGAATAATTATTAGTAATTATGAGATTCAATAAAGTTTTAGTGAATTGGGAGCATTTCCTTTATATTTCTGCGAGGTCCTAAATTCATTATTAAAATTATTAAATCAAAATATAGAGTAATTCATTGTTGTTAAATCTAAATAAATTCTTTGAATGACAAGATAGTTCAACAATAAGTTTATAAATTGACCATAATATATCAATATAAATTATATTAGATAATGGACTTTACTGCTGTTAATCGATCTCCATTAAATACAAGTAAAACTAAATAGATGTATACTTTCTCAAAGGCTAAACGATGGGTTGATCATAAAGACAATATGTATCTCTATATAACTAAATCAAATTTAGCTGCCCTCCAATTTATCAGTTACCTACTACATTGAGTAAGAGAGCAGCTGGAATAGGTTATGGAAAGAAGATCAACATTACCTAAGAAAAGATTTCCCCTGCCCCAAACTCTTATTCAATTTAAACTACAAGAGAACATGGTTGGACTATGGGATTAGGCAGAGATGTAATTTTATTGTGCCGAATTTAAGCGCGCAAATAAATTTGAGAGTATCTTTTTGGGTTTAGTCTAAAAAACACCTGGGCCAGGAACATACAATTTTAAAGAAAACTAATCAAAAGTTCGTTACAGTATGAGACAACGATTACAAAGCAGATCAAGCAAAGATCGAAAACCTGGACCGTATTCCTATGAACCTATTCTAGAGGCGAATATGAGTTACCGAGCAGCATAAATAGTCGAGGAAAATATGCCCTAAGCCAATATCGCGAGTAATTTTGAATGATTCTACCAAATCAATAGTTCGGGTGCTGTAATTCTCTCACCTCCCAGAGTCCATTCAGATAGAAAATTGAGGGATAGTACTCCAGGACCAGGGACATACAAAGAGACAGATAACATGGATCCTTTAGGTACTTACTTTTGTTCAAGATTTGGTGCAAGCAAATGTAACAAATTTCCAAGAGCATAACGAATACTATCAGAACATAGAGATGGATCACCTGGACCTGGTTAATATAGGTTACCTTCAGATTTTGGGTGTTGATTTATTATTATTGTTAATTTAGTTTAACTATATTTTTGTTGTATTAATTTATTAATAAATAATTTGAATATGCAATTCCAAACGATAAAAAAAGAAATGTTGATTAAGTAAGCACCTAAACATGAGAGTTGTATTGCAAAAATCTTTAATTACAATCCTTCTTAAAAAGGAATGGTTGTAAAAAAGAATGTATTGCAATCTGAATAAACATAATGTAATTAGGTATTTATAGGTGAGTTATTTTTTGATTACTAAAACCCTTGAGTCAATGAAATTACAAGAATCGATAGTTATAAAATAATAAGGAAATAATGAACAAACAAAAAAGAAGAATGATAGCAATAATAGAATGATATTCAAATTAGAATTAGACCAGAAAAACACTTTATAAACACAAAGAAAGAGTTAAGATACTTTGAATGTTGAAAAAAAGAGTAATAACTTTGCCATAATTTAAAATATGTTTGATTTGGAAACTAAAAATTTAGAAATGTATATGCAAACTTAAGAAAAGAGAACATAAATATAGTAATTATAATCTGAATTAGAATAATAAAATATTAAATAGGAATAATAAATTAGACAATAAAATTAAGAGAAAGATGAATTACTTTAAAAGTAATAATTAAATTGATTCTTATAGAATTAAATAATTGGAATATTAATGTGAATAATAGAAGATATATATTGAATAAATACCTATAATGTAAGCAGAGGCATAAGAATGGAAAGATAGATTTCTAAATTTGAATAAATTATTTCATTAATCTTAAGAAGTACTATTTAGAATTGAGGCTGAATAATAAAGTAATTAAAGAAGAATTTTGAATTATAAAATCTGAATAATTTAGAATTCAGAAATTAGTGAATATATTATTATAAATATATATATTCATTCACATTCTAGTAAAGTCTTTATTTTTAATTTATCTTATTCACTTAATGCACTTACATATTCTGATGGTCTTCCTGGAGAGATTAAAGATTGTTAATGTGTAAGTTAGGTAATTTGAACTTGTTATAATTAGATTTATTATTTCAATTTTTGATTTTCTTATAAAAGTTTATCATATTCTTTTTCTATATTATAATACTTTTTCTAAATATATAATTGAAATTAATTACATTGGATTCTTTAATTTATTTAATTTCTTTCTATAATTACATGATTTATAAATCTTTGTCAAGAAGTTGTTTTTAATAAATGATTGATGGTTCTAACAAAATCAAAAAACAATACTATGTTTAGAGGATCTCTCCTCTTCTTAGCTCTCTCCTGTTGTTGTCTTAGTGTAATTTGATCTTTCATTAAGTTTCTCTTAAAGAAACGAAGAGACTTTGTTTGAATTATAATTAGAATCTGGAGTTTGTTTTGATGAGTAGATTTTAAGTGCTTCTTATATAGGTATACTTTAGCCCTATAATAGAAATGAACAGATTTACTTAAGTAGGTATTCTTGTTTTCAATTCTGTGGATTGCATTATTTTAGGATAGACATATGAAGTAGTTAAAATTTTGGAAGGTGAATTGGATCTGCCATCAAATTAATGACTTCTTCTTGGATTATGTGTAACAACAACATGTGTGACAGGAGATTGTTTTCTGGATTCATATTATCTATATAAAACAGAAGCTGATTAACGATGATTGAAGTTCTAAGATATAAATGAGTAATTTGACTTATATTGGAATCATTTGTTTATTAGGTTTAGATGAGGTAATGTTTGAATATTAAATTTAAAATATTCATATAAATAATTATATTAAACATCTAAAACAAAAGGAATTCAAACAATTTTAGTTCCATGAACTTCTTTTAAATTACAATATTAAACTAAACTAATATAATTATCTTTTGTAATTCCACTACCAGCTAAAATAGTCAATTATGGAAATAGTTCAACTATCTGTTTAATTGAATCTTTTCCTTCCAAAGCTGATTTATACTTTCCTCCTTTAGTAAGAACTCTTTTAATCCCTAAATTTATGAGTTGCTATAAACTTTAATGATAATTATGACAATCATCAATAGCCATATGAAATATTACTTGCATAGGAGAAGCAATTTCAATTAATATTTTCATTCTCTCTATATCAATTTCTGAATCAGTTGTTAAGATACCTGTAACAATTTCTTTAACTTATAGTTATTTGCAAATCTTGATATCTTCTATCATAATTTCAAATTCTTCTGCTGTATAAACAAAATCACCACCTCTAGGTCTAATCATAACAACAATTGGATATTAAACTGATTTCTTTATAGTTCCAAAAGAAGGTGTTGTACCTCCTTATGATAAGTTATCACATAACTCTATTCTATTAGCTCCATTATTGATTGCTATAATTAATTCAGAGTAATTATTAACACAGGCTTCTTTAATAATTTATTCCGTTTTTTTAATATATATATATATATTTATTTTCTTTAAAATGAGATTCGTTATCTTATTATGCATGATAGGATTAGTATTTTGTGATTTACCTGTTCATTGCTTGAAGCATTAAGTTGCAGGAAAGTGGAGACTATATTTGGAAAAACCAACTTAAAAAGGTGTTGGATTATTACCATGTGGTCATGAAGTTCCTGATAGAGCTAAGACATCATATATGGCATATTCTAGCAACTTTTAATCATCATAAGATCTTGAAGTTACATTAGGAGATGATTATAAAGTGAAATCAAATTCAAAATCAGGTGAATGGACTATGGTTTATGATGAAGGTTTTGAAATCAAATTAGGTAATGTGAAATATTTTGCATTTTCAAAATATGAGCCAAAAGGTAGAGAAGGAGTGTCATATTGTGATTAAACTCTTGTGGGATGGTATACAAATTTAGACACATAAGAAAGAGGTTGTTATAGAGCTGAAAAAACTGAAAAAGTAGATGCATCTGAATCTATTAAAACAGTAAGTATTGTTTAACCTGAATTTATGGATGATGATGATTTGAAATCTTTATCATTTTTATAAGTTTAAGAAAAAACACCAGAAGCAAATCATGAAGAAGTTGTAGAGAAATTAAATAAATAAGAAGGAACATGGAAAGCTAAAGTTTATGATCATATGAAGGGTAAGAGTTTTGCTGAAGTTGCTAAATCTTTGGGAAAGAAAAAAGGATTCAAAAAAGATAAATCATATAAATAATAAGATTAAACAGCAAATAAAGTATTCGTTCAAACTGCTGAATATTCAGATTTACCATCATCATTTAATTGGAAAGAGTATATAAATAATTAATTATATTAGAAAACTTGCACCACCTAGACAATAAGGATAATGTGGATCTTGTTATGCAATAGCCACAATGTCTATGTTATCAGCAAGATTAAAAATAAAAGGTGAAAATGTTGATCTCTCACCTTAATGGTCTTTAAATTGCAATTATTTTAATTAAGGATGTGATGGTGGTTATCCTTATTTAGTAAATAAATTTGCTGAAGAATAAGTACTTGTTTCTGAAGCAGCAGAACCATATTAAGGATTTGATGGATCTTGTAATTTCTAAAAAGCTAAATCATAATCAAAAGTTTATTCTACCAAGTTTATTATATATTAATAATTATTTTTAGAAACTATAAATATTTAGGAGGTTCATATGGCAGAGTTTCAGAATAAGTTATAATGACAGAAATAATGAAGAATGGTCCTGTTGTATTGAGTTTTGAACCATCTTATGATTTCATGTATTATGAATCTGGTATTTATCATTCCAAAGCATAAACAAATGATTATGCTGAATGGGTATTTAATTAATATTTATTGATAGGAAAAAGTTGATCATTCAGTCTTATGTTATGGATGGGGAGAAGAGAATGGTGTTAAATATTGGATGTTATAAAACAGTTGGGGAAATGAATGGGGAGAAGGAGGAAACTTTAGAATGAAAAGAGGAGTTGATGAATCAGCTATTGAAAGTATGGCTGAAGCATCAGATCCATATGTCATAAATTAGAATTCAAGTAAAAGTTTTTCTGAAAAAAAATAAAAAGAATCAGATTTCGATTATGAAGATGATGACAATATCTTTTCTTTTAATTAGATTAGATAAAACTTAAAATGAAATTATAATAACATCATTTAAAATAATTTATGAATAATTTATTTAACTCATAAAAATACATTCTTCCTTCTATTATATGTTATTAAATCTTAAGATGTTTTGGTTGAATGGAATTTCTACATAATAAGAGCTGGATATAAACAATATCTTTAGAATTCATTTACAATTCTTATTTTTGCTTTATCTATTTTTAATTTAATATTATTAATATTGAATTTAGGATTATAATGAATGAAATTTTTAGGACTTTCAAATTCATTATTTTAATATATATTGTAATCTGAATTTATTCTAATAATATCATCAATATCATTGAGTAATTAAGGATTCACTTTTGTTAATTATTTAAGATGTTCTTATCTTAATTTTAATTATTTCAGTTATGATTCTTGACTAAAATAATTTTAATTATGTCTAAATTTCTTCAACACAATCATTAAAAATTTAGGATAATATTTATCTATAAATGTTATCTTTTTAACTAAATGTTTAAATTTAGCCTTTAATGCTTTCCTTTTCTCTTCATTAATCTTAGATCTACTCTTAAAATTTTTATATGCATCTAAATTTTATATTTTATTCTCTTCTTCTTCAATTTAAGGAATATCATATTATTAAACAATATCTTAATTCTCTTATTGTACAATAAATGAAGCTTTTATTAAAGATTATTAAGTAATTTTCCTAGAAGGATATCGAGCTCTCTTTTATTCTTAACGTGGAATTAATTTTCTTTATTAAAATGTTGAAATCGTGTGTTTTTTTATTATTTTTTCTCTATCAGGTACATAATGCACTACTGGACATTCATGTGAATAATGTGTAAAATTTTAACAGGCATAACATTTTCTTGGAAAGATAGATGTTTCATTTCCATTAAATAATAAATAATCTTTCATCTGACAATAGATTTCATAATCATTAGGAAAATCTTTTAAAGTTGCTTTAAATTTTCTATGTGATAATGTCATAACTAAACAAAAGCCTTAACTTTTATAGGTTTCTGGTTATAATTTTCCAGTTATAAATGGAATAAGGCCTATAGTTTGATTTGTATGGAATGATTATAATTTTAAATTACATTATTAATCTCCATACATATCAATAATTCCAGATTCTATATACACTAACTCTTTCTTATCTCCAATAATAGTTTCAGGTGCTAATATTTTAGTTTTTAATGATTTAATGAGTTCTCTTTTGAAAGCAGGTGTAAAACGATATCTAAATAAGGCACATTAATTTAGAATGACAGAATTTGATTCTTAAGTTAATCTTTCTTTTAAATTTTCAGATAATTAATTAATCATTTAATCTGCTTCTTCTGCATCTTTTTCTTTATTTAATTACCAATAATAATTTAAATATTGACGAATTTCACTTTATAATTAAAATGGAATTCTTTTCTTTTGCATATATGAATTAATGATTCTCAATTTACGTTTCTTATCTTCTCCATATTCACTAATTTTTGAAATAATAGCACCAACTGTATTAATACTATAAGGTAATTGTAAACTTGCCATAATAATGAATAAACAACAAACAATTCTTTCTAAATTACTTTATGGAAGAACATCACCATATCCTATAGTAAACATTGTAACTGTTGAATAATATACTGATGATAAATATTATATTTCCCATTCTTTATCAACAATATTCTCTAACCAACTGACTCCGTAATTGTTATGACTATAATCACCAACCTAGAATGAATAATTGTTTTACCCAAAACCAAAAGCATGAAAACATATGTATTATAAAAAATAACACTGCAATCAATTTAATAAGTTCTATAATGGATGAGGCTTTTTTACTAAGATTCAATCCTTCTTCATAATATTCTAAACATTCTTATATAGTACTATAATGAACTAAAAAGGTCACTAGAGTAAGATATATTTTATAATCTTTGATTTATTATGTTATAATTGGATCCTAAGTTAGTATTTAATAGACCAGTAATTAAATTGTTGAAGTCCATTCTAAACCAAAACATTTTAAAAAGTTATGATATACAATTTATTTTCTATCTGTTACTAATTATCCTTATTTATAGAATGCAGTATTTAAACCAACTATTAAATCTCCAAGAAGAACCATTTAAAATATAAAGGATGTTAAATTATACATATCAAACATAAATGAATATTTACTCCATGCAATATCTAAGGGAATTAAAAATAAAAAATATAATCTTGAAACCAATGAAGCTGAATCCCAAATTAACTTTATAGTTGATTCTGGTTGAAATAACTCTATTCGTTTTAGACTTGAAATTAACATATTCAAATATTTTGAAAAAAATTGTTTAATCTTCTCAAAAAACTTCAATTCTAATTACAATGAAAAGTTTTTATGCATGAGTCTGATATTGAATGTATTAGAACTACGATATGAGGTTTTATCACCAATACATGATAATTATTCTTCAGGAATAAGTCCTAATCTATTTGATTATGATTTGAGATTATTGCAAAATTGTTTGACATAATGAGTTTTACGTTCTTATTTCTGATTGAGTATCTTTTAATACATCATTATTGATTCTCCTCCTGAAGATTAAACTTAGATTTGTTATCGAAAAGGGATTCCTTCTGTTTGATTCCCTTCTGTCAATAGTTTAAGTCCCATATTACCAACTAGCATTTTTTCTTACATATTAAATAAATTATTCAAATCAAAATCACATTCTTTCTTCTTCTATAATTAATGATATTTCGAATTGATGGTTTGCATCCAAATCTTTTTATTATTTCTCCTGGGAATAGAAAATATGGCATAAATTTCATAATTAATCCAATCTTCAACTTAGTTTATAAATTAGGAATCCTTGATAAATTATTAGCACTATTATAAAATTAATATTCATGATTTATTTCAAAATCATGTAAACTAGACTTTTAATTTAAACGATCAATAAGATCTTAAATTTCATTAATTTCTTTATTGAATATTCTTTCATTCTTTTTAGCTAATTTCAATCTATCAAATAATTATGATAAAAATTATTCATTTATTTATGGATATTTTTTTATTCTTGTTTTTGGAATTATCCTTAATCTATTTATATATATAATCATTTTGACTATATGAATAAATCTATGTTTGTATTCAGATATAATATCTTTCTCATTATAAAATGATACACTTCTACTCTTTCTCATCTATCTTTTTATCTCATCTTAATCATAATATAATTTTATTCTTTCATATCTTTGAGATTAAATCTTCCAAGCTGCTCTAGTCAATTCAGATAAATTCCCTCTACAATTATTTTGTCTATATTTTGATCTTTATCTATTTATTTATCTAT